CCCGATGTCATGAATTTAGAGAGGGTTGACTGTATATATTTTTTAACAAATTTTTTAATAAATATATCACTTTAAATTAGAGAGTGGAACCGGGTGGACGCAACCCGGGTTACTTGCAGGTGGGTCGAGTATTGGCATAACCCGGGCGGGTCAACCTGTGGATTAACCCGTGAGTTAACCTGTGGATTAAATCTTACCCAGGTGCGCCAACAAAATTTCACAGTCACGTGATCACCGAAAAAAACTTTTATGTTAGGGTTAGCGTTTAAATTAATGTTAATGAGTGATGGGGTATAGTATATTAGTGCACAAAAGACAAAACGACGTTTGTTTTGGATCTTCGTGATCGTGTTACGTTGCACCAAATTGTGATTAATTATTGGCTAATTTGATGTAAATCATCACGTGACTGTGAAATTTTGTTGGCGCACCAGGGGTAGTTTGTGGATTAACCCGTGAGTTAACTTGTAAATAACTAAATCTGTTATGTAAAATCTGTTATGCATTAAATTCTACAAATGAATCTTAAAAATCTCTGTTATGATTATCTGCTATTCAAATCTTACCATTTAATTTTAATTTTTTTTATTGCGTTAATTAGCCAGTACAGCAGTAAGTATAAAAGTTATTTATATTAAATTTAGGAATCAAATCAATTAAGTAAAATAACTGTGAAAATAGTATGATACATTAATTATTGAAAATATACACATTGCAATAAATAGAACACGGGTGAAACATAGTGTTAAACATGGATGGGAAGTATAAATACGGATAGTTGTGATTGTGTGAAATAGGCACAACTTAGAACCAAAGAATGAACGTATAGTATAATTAAATGATTTCATTCGATAGACTGAGATATAATCTTTTTTTTTTTGAAGAATTTGACTCCATGATTATACGAAAATTAAATTTTAATATTATTAATAAATAAGTACTTCATATTATTTAAAATTTGTACAAGTACTTAATTCCATCGTTTTATAAGCAAATTTGCCTGAAAATTTGCGAACAAGAGCGCTTTTTCGGCATAAATAATAAGCTTTCTACAGATATTATTTTTTGCATTCATAGTTTTTATCCTTATAATTTTAGGATCTTCTAAAATTCATAAGATTTGCACGAATTTACTTTATAGATTTTATTCGAATTTCCATTTAATGAACAAAAAATCTTTGAAAGGTCCAATAACATTAATCATTAGAAGCTATTATGCTTTTAATTTCATCCAATTTGATTCAGTAATTTCCACAGGTGAACAGCAGTGAATCAAATCTTTGTTCACAATTTCCATACCTGATTCTGCGCGATAATGTAGCGGAACTAAAATTTTGATGGATTTTCATACATACGTACGTACGTTAGGGATCGTATTGGGGCTTTAGAAAACCATGTAATACAAGATTAATATGATTGCTATCGGGTTGACGCGGGTGAAATGTCTACCTCGATCACCCGGGTAACCCGCGGGTAACCCGCGGGTTCAACCCGCCGGGTCACCCTAAAGTATAGGTGCAGACTTATGACATCACCTAATTACGTCCTATATAAAAAATCGGTTTATAAAATAAAATACAATTGAGCCGTAACTAATGACGTAAATAAGTCTGCATCTACACCCTAAAGACATACTAAATTAAGTATATTGTACTAGTTTTAGTACAGGTAAATCCAAGTCATTAATTTAAAAGCCTACTTATTTACTTTAAGTTTTGTAAACAGCATAATTATTACATTTTGAATGATTCATTATATGCCTTATTACATTTTGAATGATTCATTATATGTCTTATGTTTTCAGTTATTTATATAATTGGCAACAATATTTTCGAAGATTTGATAATCAAGTATTCGAAGGCATGTTTTATGTCCAAAATACTTTCGCATTAAATTTAACGTATGTAGATTACACTTTAATGTTGGCATAAATTTTAAATTCGCGTATGTACGTACATCGATCAATTTTAATCGGTATTACAGAAATATTTATTGTATACAATTGTGGCATGTAAGTAATTTATACAGCTGTTTATATAGATGTAAGCTAAAAAATTTACGAATATATGTACGATTAGCAAAACTTATTTATTTTTTATAAATGATCGCTTTTTAAATATTTCATATTAGGGTTAGTATAGGTTATAGGTAAATATTTTCTTTTACGAACTATACTAACTTATTTCTACTGTACATACTTTATAAATTATACATTACATATTTTCTTTCTAATCTACGGTCGTTTGAAAATGATGTCTAACGTATACGTATACATCATTGCATAACATCTTGTTTTAAAATCACCAAATATTACCAAGAATGGTTATTGCGGGATTTTCTGGTAAACAATTTTCCGAAAGGTGGTTGGTAAACTTTATCTGAAAACTTAAATTTGCCCTCTCTGTCCCCTTCGAACTTAACAAGCCAATCACAACACAGGATAAGTTGACCAATCAGATTTTCTGTATATCATTCCTTTTTGAACTTGCGCGCAGTACTATTGGCGTGCAGCTAATTAATCTTCATACTACTTCTGTGCTTAAGGTTTTTTTTTTTTTTTGGAATAAATCTATTTTTAGTATAGTTTTGTTTAATAATAAAATCCTTAACGTTAAATCTTACAAAATTACTCGTTAATAAAAATTAACCATGTAATTGATCCCAAGACTAATTTCTGATATTTTAGAACTCGTCACAATTTTTACGCCCTCATTATCGTGCAGGCCAAGGTTACACACCTAAATTAGTGCAAATGCATTCATCTATTTTTATTATCTGTAACCCTTTATTATCATTAGCGACCACAATAAAATTAAATAAAATTAATAAAATTAGCTTACCTTGTGATAAAAATGAATCTGGAGATATTCCAAAATTTGCGTGGGAGTACAGAAAGCAAAAAATAGCACAAACAGACATAGCGACAGCACCACTGAAGTATTATACGCAATAAAGCATTGTGGCAATTTTGCTACTGTTTCTATGTAATGTTTTTTATTTGTTGTTGTCAATTGAAACAAAATGATTAATACGTAAATGTCTATCTGCAAAGTGTAATAATAGTGATATGGCTAAAATGCATACAGTTTTGTGAAAGTATTTATCCTTCAATTTGAAATGATTTGACTTTTTTTACCAATTGTAGACGTAATTATCTGGTCACCGAAACATCCGACTTTATTGATATGCATAAAAGTTAATTCTGTATCTGAATTTTTCGGTAATTAATTGACCAATAGTTTCTTACATCTTACATGTTAAACACTTACATTTCATTGTTGATTTATAAATATATTGCATCTTTTGTACCCAATTAAGAAATATTTGAAACTGGACTGTTAGAAACTGTTAGAAATGATGCCTTAATGTCCCCGTATATTTCTATGTAATGTAGCATCGTTGTACATGAACCGAAATTTATCTTTCTACGTATGTGAACACGAAAATATTACACATAAACAAACATATGAATTTCTTCTAATTACTATATAACGGTAAATTATGGTCTAATATGGAAAAACGTAGATCGATCAAACAAAAAAAAAATTCTTGAATAAACCTTGAATAAATGTCTGAGGCACTTATTATAAAAAAAAGAAAATTGCACTTTCCTTGAAATAGCATACAGTATTTCATCTTACATAGTCAAAAATGGTTCCCAATAAAGTTTTACGATTATTCAGCAAGGTAATGAATCTTTCTACAGTTTACATGCATTTGATAGCTCTGTTAATTTTTTATTTTTATTTTTTTCATAATAGAAACAAGAGAATGTTATAGACCATTCATATATACGAAAGCCGTATAAAGTAGAGTGGACAAAACAACATGAAACAAAAGAAAGTAATACATATAGAGCTCCATTAAAATTTGATGACCTTGATCCTTCAACTAATTGGAGAAGACACCAGAGTACACCACTCTTGGTTGATCCAAGAAGATTGGCCACAAGTGGTTATGATCATAAACGAAATAATTCTGATGGCGATGAATGGAATTACCATAAACAAACTCCGTCTGACAGAAAATATGATGTGTATTCGGAGAGAGAACAATTTGCGAATGAAGTCCTTAAAAAAAACAATCCTAAACTTTTCTATCAACAATCTGAACCAATACTACCTATTAAAAATGCAAAACCTATATTGAATACAAATACAAAACCTATTGCGAATTCGGATGCTAAACCTATTGCGAATTCGAATGCTAAACCTATTGCGAATTCGAATGCTAAACCTATTTCGAATGCAAACGAGAATGCTAAACTTATCGAGAATGCAAATGAAAAGCCTATTAAGGATTCTAACCCTATTGTGGATTCTAAACATGCTACTTATTCGCCAATATTGCAGGATTCGAAAAAACCCATTGTGGATGCTGATGATAAATCTGATGATTCTCAATCTTCTCAATCTTCTCAATCTTCACAATCTTCTCAGTCTTCACAATCTTCTCAATCTTCCCAACTTTCTCCTAAAATTTGTCCAACATGTGAAGGTCCAATTTCCGATACTGGCTATTATACTCAATGGTGTTCTGCTTGTCAATCGAAACTTTTTGAAAAGAGATTCGGTTCATGGTCAAGTGGCAATGACGACATAGATACGTTTATCCTAGAAACTCAACTTTCTTCTCCGAGTCGATTTGACTATTTAGAGTGGATACCCTTCGATAGATTTAAAAGTGTTCAATTCATTGGGTCAGGAGGATATGGAAATGTTTATCAAGCTATTTGGCTTGATGGTCCGCGTGAAAAATGGGATGATCAAACTGCTCGATATGTTAGGTGTGGTAAAAAGCACGTTACATTAAGATCCTTTAATAATTTGAGCATTGGTTCTGACCTTTTTACCGAAGTATGTGTATCAATACGTTTAATATTGTTTTTTTTTTTTAAATCGATTATTTTAAATATTCTTGTTCAGTTAGTGTCAGATTCACCGGTATCATTAAAAATATACTAATTTAAATTTTATTTTATTTTTTTTATTTTTTTTTTTAGTTGCTTAAATTTTTAACCTCTGAGAATAATAGTGGTGCTTATGTATGCCGATATTATGGATTAACACGAGATCCCTTCTCAAACAACTATATGATGGTGGTCCAATACGCACGCGGTGGTCATTTAAGAAAATACTATGAAGAAAATTTCCCATCTATAACCTGGAAAAAAAGATTGGACATCTTATACGGTATTGCCATAGGTCTCATGCGCATCCACAAAAAAGATATAATCCATCGTAATTTACATAGTGGCAACGTACTTATTCATTCATCAATGACTCTTTTGAGCGACATAAAACTTCCCATTCTACTTAAGGACAATTTACCCATTAATGATGGGGTATATGGTGTTTTACCTTACATGGCTCCCGAAATATTGCGAAATCAACAGTTTACAAAAGAATCTGATATTTATAGCTTTGGAATCATAATGTGGGAATTAGCATTTGGCAAAAAACCGTTTTCTAATCGTTCACATAATTTACATCTTGCTACTGGTATCTGCGAAGGTATTCACCCAGAATTCGATTACGAAATTCCAGAATATTATACTAGCCTCATAAAACGTTGTCTGGATCTTGATCCATTAGCGCGTCCTGATGCAGAACAACTTTATAGGACACTTGGTGAATGGTTGTGTATGATAAATGTTCCCGATTCAGACATTGCCAAACAATTCAATGAAGCTGGTGAGAGACAAATAGAACATCAAAACTTATCCAATGATACTCATCCGGAAGCTGTGTATACTAGTAGAAGGTACAAATTCGAAAGTCTTGAATTACCAAATATAATATTTACCAAGACCAATGAGCGGAGAGAACGGTTGGCTGTACGACAGTATATGGCAAATGAAACTAGACTTTGTAATCTTAAATTAGAGATGATCCATGCGGAAAATTCAGTCACTGCTGCTGAAATTTATGAAATATTACAATATTTGTGATTTTTTTTTTTGCATGACAAAAATATTAGAACATTTGTATTATTAGAATGATTATTTGTTATTATTATGTATTATTATTATTTGTTATTATTATTTGTTATTATTATTTGTTATTATTATTTGTTATTATTATTTGTTATTATTATTTGTTATTATTATTATTATTATTTAGTATTATTGAAACCTAAATATGTAGTACAGCCAAGAGAAAATGTGACTTCGAGTTCTTAAGTTTATCATTTATTATTTACCAGATTCCAGATTCCGCCTGATGTCAACATATATCATGATACATAATCAAATTATCATATAGTATATATCGTTAATCAAGTTGAGTTGAACCTGGTAAATAATGAATAATAAATAATAAATTAAAAGTCTCATTTTTCTCTTGGTAGCACTCATAATAGATTACACAAATTATAAATTATATATTCTAAAATTATTCATATATATTAAATATTTAGATATAATCATAATAACACTATGTAAATTGTTTATGTAGTCCTGTAGTCTAATAAAATAGTTATCATTGTTTGCAAAAAGATGTAATCATTATAATTTTTGCATTAATGATACCAAGAAATCCAATAGCGATAGAGAATAAATATAAAAAGGCTAAATATAAATTTACCAATATAAAATTAGGTTACTTTTTGATTTTGTCTTATTAATTCTCTTGATTATAATAAATTATAATAGCTAACATTATTATGCCAGATAATATATTACTTTGCATTATTGGAATTGGTTTTACGAAAAAGTATTATTATTGACCAGGTTAACCTCTCGTTATTGACTGGCAGCAAAAAAAACAAAATAAAAAAGTCCTCAAGTTTATTATTTATCATTTTATTTACTGGACTCAGCCCTCTAATCGGTGACATATACGTACCAGTAGGGATAGGAATCGGCTATATGATTTAGTCGACTAAATCGACTAAACATAGTAATTTACATATAAATTTTTTAGTCGACTAAATCGATTCCCATCCCTACGTACCAGTGCAAATTCTATAGAATATGCCGGTGATTCCGTTTAATTACAACTGTTTTTATAAATTCTGGAACGACTGGCACAAAATTGACTGACCTAATATTTACCGATTCGATAAGTACGTACTTATCAAATCGGCAAATTTTCGGTCGATCAATGTTTTGCCAGATGTTCCGGTGTAGTTTTAAAGCGGCCGGAAATTTTATAATTATAAATATATTCTAAATTTCGTTTACCGAAAAAGAAAGCAGGTTACAACACGCCGAAATTTTGTGTTCTGATACACACTTACAGTGATTTATAGCTGCTCTCATAAATTCTGGAACAACTGATAAATTGATCGGCCGAATTCGATAAGTTTTTGAATTTGGCATTATCAGATTGCTATAATGCCAAAATCCAATGCTGATAACACCGAATTCAAAAACTTATCAAATTTGACCGATCAAATTTTATCAGTTTGTCCTAGAATTTATGAGAACAGCTGTAAATTAACAGTTAAGAATACAGATTCAGACGAATATGCGAAAATTATAGAATATGTTATAGTTATTGTATGGGTTGTAGAAAATAACTAAATTTGCACGGGTTAATCAGTTCTACATGGCCAAAGGCCATGTGAAATGGGTTGACCCTTGTATATTTAGTTATTTTATGCAATCCCATACAATAACTATATTATTCACGGGTCTGATGTAACAACCTGTGCGACACCTTTCACATTAATAAAAGGAGAAGGCTCTGCCCAATAAGAGTTTTTTTAAAAAGCGAAGAACTAGATCTAATCAAATGAAATTCCAATTATATATAACTTTATTCAAAAATTTTTTAAAAAAACAAAACTTTAATCATGTAAAGGATTCTGTTCAATGAAAAATAAAAATAAAATAACATGATTCTATTTAGCGTAATATAGAAAGTGAAGACTTAATAATAAATAACCTGCTAATGATAATTTTAAAAACAGAGGTTTAATAATGAGTAATTCAGTATACTAAGAATTATAAAAGAAATATTTAATAATATATGATTAATCTAACAAGAATTTAAAGAAAGTAAAAATTAATAATATACAACTTCATCCAACAAGAATTTAAATACTAAAAATGAGATTTTGTATAGTAAGAATTTTAAAAAAGTGATAAAATATTAAAAAAATATAAAATCTAAAAATATGTAATTCTATTTAATATGAATTTAAAAAACTGAAGATAGAAACAAGATATAATAATATCTAATTCAATAAGTTTTTAAAGAAAGATTAATTATATAATAATTATTTCAAAAAAAATAAAAATAAATTAAGGTTAACACCATCCAATAACAATTTAAAAAAAGTAAAAACCTAATGCTTTATTAACAATTTTAAAAATATAAAAACAAATTAATTTAATAAAAATAAAATAACTAAATTGAAACACTTTTTAATAATATATAAAAGTATTTAGATTTAGTTATTTTTTTAAACACATATTATAAATAAGTAAAAAAAACATCTATTGTTATATAAGATCTATACAATAAATATATAATATACAAGTATATAACAAATTATATAAAGTTTTTAAAGAAGGTATAGTGATATAGCAAAGTAGTTAAGGTGTTACCCCAAGTAGCAGATCAAGAGTTTGAATTTTACTGACAACAAAAATTTGAAAATCCTGCTTATATTATGACCAACTGTATTTGGTTAATTAGTTGAGATAGGATACTTATAACTATAATTGTACTAGCAAAACTAGGAGGTCTGGAATATTTATACAATATATAAGTTATACAAAGATATACAAGCTGATATTAGTCAGTGCAAACTCATGATAAGTTTTTGGGTTACATAAATCTAGAAAACTACAAATATAAAAGCTCACTTGGCAAGTTCTAAGTAGAGAGTAGTACAGATCTTTAACAGAGCTACTGTAAAAGTTAAACTTAGAAAATATAACCTATACAAACTAAACTGAACAAAATATGGGATATTGATGTGCATCTATACTAACCAAGTTATTGCAAATATTACAGAAACTGCCAAATTAGCAACTTTAGAAATACTTTAAAACAGCAATAAAGTAACTATATAATTACTTTATAGTTACCATAGTTCTTTACAGAAACTAGCTAAAAATTTTCAATGGGTTTAAAATGATCTTAAAGATATTGATTCTATAAATTTATGCTTATAAGATTATTTTACTATAAAAAAAATTATAAATTTTATAATAATTTTAAAATTATTTTTTAATAATTATATTGTAATCTTATTTTTTACTAATTTTAAAAAAAAGGAAAAATCAGAAACTCTTTCTGATAATCCCTTGGTCAACAACAAAACAAACTAAACTACAGAAAAACAATATAGAAAAGCAACAAAGTAGATATCCAAATATTCCTAGTACTATATAAACATACTTGCTATTGACGAAACTTTATATACGTGAAATACTGAAAAGCAGGTGTATAAACAACAAGTAGGCTGTGCCTTTAGGTCAAGCTTTTAGTGGACTTCTTCGTACTTTCAACATCCAAACCAAAAGGATATTTTGGGAGCAGCATCACTATAGGTCCCTGGACAGGAATACTAAGTAGAAACTAAGGAACTAGACTATATAACTGTAACTCTTACAAGAAGAACCTCATATACTCTCATTGGCCCACCACTTTTTTTCGAGGATTTTTTGTAAAAAGTGGGCATTTTAGTTTACTCTCTCCAAAAGATCGATATCACGTACACCAAAACAGTTGGTATTGCTTACTTTCTAAATCAGTACAACAGGACAACAAACATATCAAAGCATATACCTAGAATACAACAAGCTGATAAACAATACTCTGAGACTAGGATCGAGTACTGACCTCTACAATAAAGGTCAAAGAAGTATTTTTTTACTAGTTTTGAGCTTTTATATACTATTTAGATAAATTTAGAGTTAGGGACGATTTTATTTAGTAGTATGTAATTTTTACAAGTCTTTTATAGGCTTATAATAGTGATCATTAGGATAGACAAATTTTTTCTTTTTTGTTTTTTTTTGATATTTCCTTACCCTCTTCTTTTCTTTTTCTTGTTTGTATCTTTTATCGTATCCTCTATACCTCTGTTTTATTTTTTCTTTTGTGTTTGTGCTTTCGTTAATTTGGCTCTTTTGATAAAGTAATGCAGCTGCTAAGGCTAAAGATCAGAGAGTTCATATCCTCAGGAAGTTGAGGATCCAATGTGATGCCAATTGCTATTAGGTAGGTTGTTCTCTGAGTTTAACTCGAGTTGATCTTTACTTGCATAGAATATAGTATAGAAAATTGTATCTACTTGTTGATATAAGTTCTGGTATTTTTAAATAAAGAGTAATAGGCAGGACCACCAAATTAAAAAAAAAATAAAAAATAAAAAAAAATATATACTTTTTTAATATAATTTTATATGCTGAACAAGTTTACTTAGAGCATAAAGATACTATATATTAGTAAATTTTTGAATTATAGTGCTTTTTTATAATTTTACTAGTAAAATAAGTAAAAACACCAAATTGTTCAAATTTTACTAATAAATTATATCTTGATACTTTAAATAAACTTGTTCAGCACATAAAAATATATTAGTACAATATATAATTATTTATATTTATAAGTTAGATTAAGTAATAATCTTAAATTTATATTTTTAATAAAATTATAATATTTTAATAAATTTTACTAAATTAATTTTATAAATATAAATAATTATATATTGTTCTAAT